AGCCCCGGACGCGTTGCGAGGCTCGTCGTCGACGGCCGCGCCGCCTCGCCGCGACGACGTGGCCTTGTTGCGCAGCTTGCGCGTCGTGTGCGGGCGCTGCGTGCTGTCAAAGAAGGCGTCGACGGCGACGTCGCCGCTCTCTTTTTCTTCCTGGAGGCGTTTCTTGGTCTGCTCGACGACGGCCAGCAGCTTCTCGCGTGCGCCCTTCTTGGCCAGCCGCGCCTCTTCGTCGACCTTGTGCTTCTCGTTCTCGTAGGCGAGGCGAGCGGATTCGAGCTGGTGCGCGTGGAGCAGCGCCGACTCGCGCAGTGCCGCGTCGCGCTGCAGCGTGAGGCGGGTCAGCTCGAGCGTGTACTGGCGGAGGCGCGAGGGCGACGAGAGCAGCGTGTTGTACGACGATGTAAGCGCCTGGTAGACGTCCTGGTACAGTCTGCGAGGTGCGGGGTAGGGTCGCGGGGCGGGGCGAGTGAAGATAGATCGTAATCAGCGCGGACTCATGATGGCAGACACGCCGGAAGCGGCCCTCGCCGCTTGCATCGACTCACAGCTCGCGGTTCTCGATGTTGTCAAAGTGGATGCGATGAATCCGCTCGATGACCTCCTTGCGCTTCTTGTCCTTCTTGCTCTCCGGAGGAGCGCCGGTGGCCGCGGGTGCAGCAGCTGCGCCGTCTGCTTGCGGTGGCTGGGCAGGGTTTACAGCAGTGGCAGCAGCAGCGGCGGCGGCGGTAGCAGCAGCCGCAGCGTTCTTCTCGGCCTTGGTCGCTGCCCTCTTGCTCGCAGGCGTCGAGGCGGCAGACCCAGCTGTGCCCGCTGCAGAAGCGCCAGCGGTCTTGGAAGACGACGCCGCACCACCTGCGGCGGCGGCGGCAGCAGCTGCAGCCTCCTTCTTCTCCTTGGTCGCCCGGGAGCCCTTGCCAGACCCGGTGCCAGTGGCGCCGCTCAGCTTAGGCGACTTGCGGCTGGCTGCGGCCGGCGAGGCGAGCGATCGAGCGTGTGCCTCGGAAATGGCCGGTCCGCCCGTCGGAGGTGCTGCCGAAGGTGCGGCCGACGACGAGGGACCGCCGGCCAGCGGCATCGAGGGAGACGACGAGTGCGGCGGCGGAGGCGGCGGTAGCGACATCGAGCTGCCCATCTGACCGGGCGAACGACGGTGCTGTTGCTGGTGAGACGACGAAGGAGGTGGGCCAGGAGGAGGGTAGGGACCTTGCTGAAGATGGGGAGGCAGCGGCTGCTGGTGCTGTGCGGGGCCCGCGTAGAGAGGCTGCTGCTGCTGCTGCTGCTGCTGCCAGGAGGGCGAGCGCTGGCCGGACGCCGGCCCCGGACCATGCTGGGCATAGTTGGGCAGGGGCTGGCGGGAAGAATGGGGCGGCGGCGCCTGCATGGCCATCATGCCGCCGTTGGCGGATGCGCTGTTGACGCTGTGGATGGCTGACCGCTCTGCTCGGTGCTGCGCGGCAGACGGATGCTGCTGCTGAGGCGGGGGCGGAGAGGGCGCCCGGTGGTGCAGGGGGATGTGGACGGGGCGTCCATGCTCCCTGGGGCCGTACATGGGCTGCGGGGGGTAGCCTGTCGATGCGATCAGAGCGGGACGAGGAGAAAAGATCAGCGTGTTTCCTGGCAGGTGGTCAGCCAGCCCATCGAAATCGCACTCACCTGGAGGGGCGTTGTGGTAAGGGTCGTGGGCCATGTGGTGGGGCATGGGCGGGTAGTCGTAGCGATCGGGATGGCTGGGAGGCGGGCGCTTTGTGCCTGCCAGCTGCTGCGGAGGCTGCTGGCGATCGAGTGACGAGGCCATGGCGGGGATGTGCGTGGGGCGGGGCAGACCCAGCGGCCGAGGCAAGGGGTGGTGGTGGTGGTGGTGGTGGTGGTGTTGGTGTTGACGATGTGGCTGCGGCAACGGGAGGCGCCTCGCCGAGTCCTGGCCTTCAAGAGAGCTGCTGCGAAGCCGATGTAGCGGTCTGATAAGGGTAGACGACGTGGATGTAGGAGGGAATGGAAGCGACAGGCTAGAGTAGGCAGGGTGTGGTGGAGCAGGGGCGAGCACGAAGCGGCCTAGCCAGCAGGCCAACGAGGGGCGAGGGCCAGGGTGGACGGGTGGACGGGTGGGGCCGCCCTGCCTGGCCTCGAATCACTCAAGACTGCCGCCTCTCTCTCGCTCCCTCTCTCGCGCCTCTGCCCGCCGCCGCCGCCGCTGCCGCTGCCAGCCCGGAGCTGCCTAGCCTGGCAGGCACGTCTGCAGCCTGCTCGCCCGGGATCCGGGAGTCGGGATTGCAGATCTTTTCCGATTGAGCCTGTCCATCGGGCGCTATGGGGAAAGCTGAATCGGGCCTTTCTGGAGTCCGCCTCAAATTGAAACGCCTGCTTTAAAATGAGCGACGGGGCTTTTGTAATCGACTCACCAGTCGACCTAGAGCGCCCCAGTCGCCGCTTCTTAACCCTCCACCTCTTGAGCGCCAGGCAGAGGGTAAGCGGGCCCTCGGGCTGTGCTGGGCAGCCAGGCCCCGGCCATATGCATGGCCACGGCCGTCGGCCGTCGGGGGTGGGACAGTAGTTCCACGCAATCTTGCCTGAGTCCGCGTGGGGACAACGAGTCTTGGCACGCAGCTGCCGCGGCGCACGGCCTGAGGTTGCCCCGCCCCATCGTGTCCCCTCTCGTCGCCATCGCTTTGCCCCTCGTCTCGATCCCGCCACCTTCCTCTCACCCCCTATCGCCCTCATCCCAACCTCACAACCCCTCGTCCGCCAGACAGCAGCGGTCGCAAAACGATTCTACACGCGCAAGCACGCACTCCTACAACCTTTAACCCAACACCAACACCACCTCGCCCTCCGAGCATGGGCTTCCTCGATAAGCTGGCCGCCAAGGCCGGTGGCGGCAATCGGCCCACCTCGCAGCAGTACGGCGGCCAACAGGGCTACGGCCAGCAGCCTGGAGGATACGGCGGCGGCGGCGGCGGAGGATATCCCTCCAGCCCGTACCAGCAGCAGCCGCAACATCACCAGTCGTTCGGCGGGGGCACCCCCGGTGGCGGCGCCAGCGAAAAGGGTGGCGACGACAATCGCCCGCTCCCCGAAGGCTGGATCAAGCAGTGGGACAGCAAGTGAGTGGCGGGCTTCCCAAGAGGTGCTATTTGAAGACGCCGCTCGATAGCTGACCTTGTTTGTCGATCCGCCCCGCCGCCCCCGCATCCGCGCAGCTACAACCGCCACTTCTACGTCGATACCAAGGCCACGCCCCCTCGCTCGATCTGGGTGCATCCGGACGACGAAAAGAGCGGTGGTGCGCCGCCGCAACAGCAGAGCTACGCTCCCCCGCCCGGCGGGCCACCCCCCAGCAACGACCAGCGCGGATGGGGCGGACCGCCGCAGCAGCACCAGCAGATGCCCTATGGCGGCGGGCCTGGCGGCTACGGCCAGCCTGCTTACGGTGGGCCCATGTACGGCGGCGGCCAGCCCTACGGCCAGCCCATGTACGGCCAGCCGCCGATGATGGCCCAGCAGCGCCGCTTCGGCGGCGGAGGCGGCGGCGGCGGCATGGGCATGGCCGGCGGTGCGGCGCTCGGTCTCGGCGCCGGCATGCTCGGTGGCGCGATGCTGGCCAACAGCATGGACAACGCCTACGACGAGGGCTACGAGGACGGCGGAGGAGGCGACATGGGCGGCGGCGACGACATGGGAGGCGACTTCTGAGCCGCGCCATGCCATGGTCAGCCCTCCGACCGCACCCATCTCGACCCTCTGCGCCCTGTCCTGGCCTTTTCCTTTCCATCCGCTTCCCTGTCGATACGTGCCATGCCATGCCCCTTTGCCGTCTGCCTGTACATACCAAATTTTGAGCTTCTCGTCCCGTCTCGTGTCAGGGAATCGCAACTCTCCGTCCGAGGCCGAGCGTGTGTGGCATCGCGCCGCCACCGCCAACCAGCTGTCGGACGACGGCCCTGGAAGCCGCCATAGCCTGTCAAGGCATCGCGCGGAAGAGCATCGACGGAGCAGCGTCGGCCACTGTCGTGCCCGCACATGCCGCTTGATGGCGGCGCGGATCAAAGCCGGCTGATGGCGAGAAGGTGTGAGTGGACTCCGACCAAAGCTGGCCGGTCCGTCTTTTCTGGCTGTGAGAGAGCAGATCGCGCGTAAGAGTACAGGAGAACGGGAAGCCGGAGCGAGATGACGAGACGGTGCCGTCTGGCGGTGGTTGGAATACGGTCGAGGCTGGTCAAAGGAGCGCCTTTTTCTCGTGGCCGGCCTGGCTGTAGGCTGACTGAGTCCAGCGGGGCGACGAGCACACCTCATTGCGGAGGACGGGGAGGCATTCCGTAGCTGTGCAGTGGCAAAGACGCGTCGGACAGGCAACAGATGGGGGAAGAAGGGCCGGGTAAGTCGCAATGTGCGTAGAAGCGCGGGAGCCAAGTGAGCGGGCATCGAGGCGCCGACACTCACCCAGGAGGAGGCACACCTCGGTACCCGCCAGGAGGGAAGCCGGGCGGCGGGCCGCCAGGGGGCATGCCGCCCGGCGGACCCACCGGGAAGCCTGGCGGGGTCGTGCGGCGAAGCCGGGCGGAGGGCCGGACGGCATACCAGGCGGCGGGGGCATGCCGGGCATTCCGGGAGGGGGAGGAGGACGGGCGTATGCCATCGGCCGCGCCATCATCGGAGGAGCGCCGGCACCGCCCATGCCGGGAGGGGGCGGCCCTGCGAGGCCGATACCACGTCCCATTGCCATCGGTCGTCCGGGGCCGGGTGGAAGCTGAGCGGGCTCGAGCATAGACAAGAAGAGGAGCAGATATGCTGATCAGCGCGCAATCCACAAAAGGCCTCGTGAAGATGACACCCGAAAGGCAGCGCCCTACTCACCGTGGTGTCCTTTTGCGTATCCGCCGGCGGGGGGCTCTCGATGCTCATCGAGACGATGTTCTCTCCTCTGAGGATGAGCATGCCGAGCGTCCTCTTCTGCTCGGGCACCGCCAGGCCGCCCTGGGTCGCGCCCTCGTTCTCTTCCTCGTCATCGTCGTCCTCTGCACCGGCGGCCTTGGACGATGCGGCGGCGGCAGCGGCGGCGGCCTTGGCCTTGGCCTTTTTCGACTTGACCTTGCGATACTCTTGCGAGTCGGCCAGGACGAGGTTCATGTGATTGTCAAACGCGAGCAGCTGCCCGACAATCTGGCGCGAGTCGTTGAGCGTGATGCGCAGGCGGTAGTTGATGAGCGTCATCATCTTACCGCCCTTGGGCTTGGTCGGAGGCATGGTGGGCGAGGGAGGCCGCGGGCTCCGGGACGGTTCGCGGAGTCACGAGAACGTCGGCCGGTCGGTCGAGGTGGCGGCTCAAGGGGCGTGGGATGCAGTCGCAGACGATGCGTGAGAGAATAGTCCGGAAAGGGCGGACGGATGGACGGATGAGGAAGACAAGCGCGCGAGCGAGGTGGATATGGTGGAGGGGTGGTGGGCAAACGGCAGCGCCAGGAGCGCGTCTGGAAGTGCAGCAGAACCAGGGCGCGGGGTCCGATCACGGCCCAGCGCAGCTCTGGAATTTCGGAAAAGCTCGGATCCGCGCTGTGGGCACGGCCGCCCTCTCTACCCTGCCACTTCGACCTCGTCCCCGCCAGCACCACCACCCTCTCGTCGATGTCTCATCACGCTAGCGTCGGATCCATCGCCCAAGGCGACTGTCTCGTCGCACATTTTGGTCGATCCAGCATGCCTCTCCGCAGGATGCAGCGGCAGGGTCGGTCACCGACCGTGACAACGATTGCATTGGTATATACACAGCGAAGAGCCCCGAGGGCAGACTGGCACGGCAGAGCAGCCGCGACGGCGTGCTGCCGAGCCCAGCAGCCTTCTTCCACTCTACTTGGGCGTCCTCAGTCCGCGCAGCTTGTTGGCGCCGGGCCCCGAAGACGCCGCCGACAGAGTCATTTGCCCCTGCATCTGCTTGAGGAAGATGGTGCCCTGGGTCAGGAGGTCGCGGATCCGGTCCTGCAGCGGCGGCGGCGAGATCAGGACGGGGCGATGCAGGCGCAGCTCAGGAACATAGGTCAGAAAGGACGCCCAGTCGTCGATCTGACGCGCGACAAGGACCGCTGCAGCGCCGCGACGTACCAGGTTGTCCTCGTGCTTGTACCGGTCAAAGTCGGAGCGGAAGAACTGGATCGTCTCCCAGCGCGCTTCTGGATTCGGGATGTCTGCGGGCGGTACGAAGAGAGAGGCGGGTCACGAGGCAAGACACGGCACGACCCGTCAGCCACGAATCGCTTGCCGTATCGTCTAGCAGCGGAAAGGGCCGGTAGCCTCACCTCGAGTGGCACGGAGAAAGTCTCGGTAGAGGCCGAGCGCCTTGCTGCGCAGCACAAAGTGCTCGAGCGTGAGCTTGGCGCCGGCAAAGTGTGCGCGGGCTCGCAAGGGTAGCGTTGGTATTGTCATTGGTGGGCGGTGGGCAGACGCCAGGATACGGTGTCGGTGGTGGCGACGACGAAGAAGGACGGTCTGGCGCAAGCTTGGTTGGGGGTCGAGGTCCACCTTGCTTGCCTCGGCGACAGCGGCGAGCGGCGAGCGGCATGGGTAAGCCGCCAGGTGGAGGCGCAGACCGGGCCCGGTTCCGAGGGATGCTTCGGCTAAACCGAGTGCAGCTGCCATGATGGCCGGCTAGGGCGGGGTCGGGACCCTTGGCTTGGCTTGACTACTGCGATCCGAGGGTCCGCCCGGCCTCTGACCTCCGCGCGGGCCGTTGCGGGGCCCAGGCCGCCGTTTCCCTCGCGCAACCAAGCAACGGCCAGGGCAGGCATCGCTCGAATCGCTTGATGGCCCAGAGGGATGCTGCATCGTCGTTGTGGCGGATCTGGCAAGATGAGCATCCACGCCTTTGCGCTGCCAAGGAGTGCCTCGAGCAGGCGGAGTGGAGAGGCGCGCTCGACGACGACCTCCTCGATCTTCCTCATCCTGGCCCCGCTTGCTTGCTTGCTTGATGCCCACCCGCCTGGCGGCCTGCCTCAAGCGGGGCCGCAGAGCAGGCAGGCAGGGTCGCGCAGTCATGCACTCATGCCGGCCATCACACGCGCTCGTCGCCAAGAAGGCGAGCAAGCAAGCAGACGGCCGGACAAGAAGCAGCGAGCAGCAAGCAAGAAGCTAAGGACGCCGTCTGGACCCTTCGCACCTGCCTGCCTATGTACGAGGTTTGCCGCCTGTACGACGACCTCGGGAGGCATCGCTCAAAGTCAGGCTCGACATCGGAGCGGCGTCGAGAGGGTGGTGTGAGAAGAAAGGCCGCCCACTGTCCAAAAAGGGAAAGGGCAAGAGAGGGAAGCAGCCAGGTTGGCGGGAAGCCTCTCCGGCCTTTCGTCCTTTCCTTCTGTCCTCGTAGCCCAGCAGGCAATCTTGGAACAAGCGACTCGAGGGGAGACGCCAGGATCGGTACGATGGCCTTTCCGCCCGACTACTCTGCTGCTTCTCTGTCTTGCCCGCGCCTCTTATCCTTCGTGATCAGGGTAGGGACCAGAGCAGCACAACCAGAAGCCGAGATGACCGTGGCGGCTCCTTCCCACCATCTTGGCACAAAACGCGCGCGATGGGAGAGCCCGCCGGCCCGCCGGCCTGCCAGCGAGACGATGATGATGGCTCCTCGTCTCAGTCATACTCGCCGGTCTCTTGCCTGCCTCTGTGTATGACGAGCCGTGACCTGCTCTCCACCCTTGCAACGTTCTTCCCTCTTGGGCCTCTCCTTGAAAAAGGTTGCGCTCCCCCTCATCTTGACGCCATCTCCGACTCCATGTCCTCCTCCCCCGCTCCCTCCCGTCGTGCTTCCCATTCGTGACAGCAGCTCCCTGACCTGAAAGACCGGGTCGCTAGCCGCCCTCGCCATCCTCGACGCCTGATCGCTTATCGCCTCCTGCCCCCCTCGACCTCGACCTCGCTCTCCCGCACCGGCACCGCCCACGATGCCCAGCCTCGGCCTGCCCAAGGCGTCGCCGCGCCTCAATGACATCCTCGTCCGCACCAACACGCTCCTCGACAACATCACGGGCGCCGTGCCGACGACGTCGACCATCTCGGCCTCCAACATCAAGCGGCTGCCCCTCGGACGCGGCGGCGCCAGCCCGCCCTCGGTGCCGCGCAAGAAGCGCACCACCATCTGCATCGCCTGCGGCACCCGCTTCGCCACCGTCGCCGACCTGGACCGCCACTTTAACCTCAAGCCCGACCACAGCCCCTATGCCGACTCGCGGCTCGGCACCAGCTCGCGCTCGACGCCCGCCTCGGAAGAGGTGCCGCCTGCACCCGCAACGGCGGCGGCGGCGGCGGCACCGGACCGATCCGCCATCGATGACAAAAAGGGTGCTGCTGCCTGGCCCACGGATGAGCCCGAGACTTCCGCTGCCCTTGCCAGCTCGAGCAGGCCGAGGACGCGGTCCAGGTCCGCCGCCGACGTCCTGACCTCGGTCATGACTGCCGGCGCGCTCTCAGGTGCGCCATCCTCGTCGTCCGGGCCTTCGGCCCAGGTCGCGTCCTCGTTCTCGGATCTGCCGCAGCAGCCGCCTCGGACCGCCAGCACGCCTGCAGGCTGGCTGAGGGCTCGCGCAAGCTCGGCCGCCGCCGCCGACAGCCCCACCAATGGAGGCTCGCAGCCAACGAGCCAAGGCTCAGGCGGGGCGACCAGCTCTTGGAGGATTCCAAGGCCAACCCTGAGGGCCAAAAAGTCGGCTCCTCTGTCTCCACCTTCAACCGACGCGAGCGCCTCCCTTTCCGGATCCTCGCAGACGGCAGGCCGTGCCTCGTCCCGGTGGGCCACGATGCGATCCTTGCCCGCTGGACGCTGGACGCAGTTCGACGACGGCAGCTCAGCGGAGACTTCGTCGGCCGCCTCAGCTTCCGGCCGCGCCGAGCGCGAGCTGCCTGCGCTGCCGCCTGCAGGCGCCCTGTGGCCTCAAAGCGATGCCCAGCTCGCCGAGGCCTTTGCCCTGCCAGTGTCGCGTCGGACGCCGCGCGCCGCGAGCATCCTAGCTGCCGACGATGCGCCGCCGCCGCCGTACACTGCCGCTGCGTCGACGGCCAATTCGACGGTCCGGACGGCCGGTCACCGCAGCGACCTGGCCGACATGTTCACCGACCTCGACATCTTTGTGCGGACATCGGCCGCGCCGCCGTTGCCTTCGTCGTCATCGACAAGGCGGGGCCGCGATGGGCAGCTGGAACGGATCGAGCCACTCGCTGCCTCCGAAATGGCAAGCGTCGATCCGTTCGACGACGACAACGCCATCGACCGTACGTGGCTGCCGGCGGTCCAGGCCGGGGCCGCAGGCTCGACGTCGCCGCGTGGACGACCCTCTCCGCGACAGCCACGACAACGTGCTTCGACGAACCCCTTCATGAGGAGCGAGGCCACCGCTTTGCCAGTCCTGCGACCTCCGCCGGTGGCACGCCGCGCTGCCAGCTCGCAAGATTGGCCCGCCGTACTCGAGCCTGCATCGCCGAGCGCGACGCGATCCGGCGGTTCGTCCACCGGCAGCCCCGTGCCGAGGGAGCGAGCCAGCGACACCGCCTATTTCCACCCCTTCTTTGGCGTCGATGCCGGTGTGCAAGCACCGCGGACCGAGGCGGCGCCGAGCGGCACAGGGACGGCTTCGGACGACGATCGCGACGACGATGACGACGACGTCTACGCCGACCCGCTGCCCGACCTCGTGCCGTCTGGCGGCGCCGGTGAGACGGACGATCGACACTGCCCCTCGACGCCTCGGATGCCCGCGACGCCCGACGCTGGATCCCGTCTGCAGCTCGGCGACGGCAAGATGCCGGGTTCCTGGGATGTCGAGGGGTCTCGAGGCATCCCGCTTGGTCGGGCGGGCGTCGTCTGACTGCCTTGAAAAGCGAAGGCCTGTCATGGCTGGAGTCCGTCCGCAGGGCGGGTCGAGGGCGAGACAGTCGTGGGATGTAAGTAGGCCAAGACTCTGTCCCTGGATGAATGCAAATGGCGGTGTCAGCACGGGCGGTGCCGGGAGCAGATGCGTGCGATTGAAATGCTAGTAGTGTTGGAGATGCCGTTTGCCGTGGCCGCTGGATATAGTCTGAAGGAGCGAGGCGGAGAAGAGACGCAAGCGAGCGGGGAGGGGGGCCAGTATCGAGTCGTAGGTATATGGACGGTGGTCGTCGTGAGGTCAAGCCTGTCTAGGGGGATGGGGAAAGGTGAAAGTAGGGGGGTCACGTCTCGAGCTGCGGACGACCAGGGGACCGAAGGGCTGTCAGCGCAGATTCCCTTGCGCTCGCACCGCACGCAGGCATCCATCGGACGACCGCTTCCGACACGCACGTAGATGAGGATGGGTTCGCCGAGGCCCTTGATCTCGGGGATGGTGCACTTAAGGTCAAAGGCCTTTGCGAGGAGGACCTTGAAGATCTTCTGCACGTTGATGGAATGCGACGTCGAGCAAAATATGAGGGGCGCCTTCATGGCGCGGGCAAAGCGGCGCGCCTGCTTGGTCGTCTCCTCCTGCTCCTCTTTGGGCAGCGTGGCAAAGTGATCGTACTTTGTGCCGACGAGAAAGGGGATGGCCGTCTTGTTGAAGCCGCGCGCCTGGCGGTACCACTCCTTGATCGAGTTGAGCGTCGACTTGCGCGTCAGGTCAAACATGAAGAGGATCGCCACGGCGTCGTTGCTGTGCGACCGCGGACGGGCAAGGGCGGACTCGGATGCGACGGTCAGCAGGCGCTTCACGCGAGTGAGGATCGGCCCGCGGCACCGCCCGACTCACCAGACCAATGGCAGCATGTTGACAAACTCTCTCTGCCCGCCAAGGTCCCAGATGCTAAAGGTGATTTCCGTGTTGCGGATGCTGATGGTCTTTTCCATAAAGTTGACGCCGAGCGTCTGGATGTAGTCTTCGTTGAAGCTGCCCTCGACGTAGCGCACCATGAGGCTCGTCTTGCCGATCTGCGAGTCGCCGACCATGCCCACCTTGAGAATGACACTGTGCCGGCGGCGGCCGAGGATGATAAGGGCCGGGGTGCGGAGGAAGGCACGGGGATGGGTGAGAAGACGAGCGGGAGGGGCGCCGGAGCGGGCATGGGAGGGGCAAAGCTCGTGGCACGGCCGGGATTCGGAGGCTCACCTGCTCTTTTCAGAGGAGCCGGAGGGTGGCGCATCGTCGTGGGACGAGGATGGCCGAGACATGGTCGTGCGGGACGGGCGTCGTTCGTGTGACTGGTGGACAGCAGAGAGGTAAGGGCCGTTACGATGCCCCGCTGCGGTCGCTACGGATGGCGATTGGAGGGCGATGCGTGCGCTGGTGTGCGAATCGTAGCGGACGCTGCTGGCGCTGGCGCTGCTGATCGTCGTCTGTCGCTCGACGGACCGATTCGAGTGGCAGCTGGTGGTGCGCTTGACCCGAGGTCGCGGGAGAGGTGCAAGAGGGCGTGTGCGTTGGCGGTGTGCTACGAGCTCCGGGAGCGACGTTGCGTGCTCACAATGGCTGGGCAAGAGAGGCGAAGGGTGGCAGGCGATGATGGGGTGGTAGCTTAGGGTGCAGGAGGGAGGCTCAGCCAGCCAGCTGTCGGCACCATGATCCAAGTTTGACGCTGGGAGGGGATCGAGGAGGTGGCCCCCGCGTCCTGGCTCGCCCGCTGCTCGGACCCCCCTTGGCTGCCACCTGCCTCGTCAGGCCAGCAGCAGGCCAGCTGGGCCGGCCGGTCGGCCGTTTGGGCGCTACGGGCGGGCGGGCGTCCGAGCGTCCGAGCGAGCGAGCGAGCCAGCCAGCCAGCCAGCCAGCCAGCCAGCCAGCCAGCCAGCCAGCCAGCCAGCCAGCCAGCCAGCCAGCCAGCCAGCCAGCCAGCCAGCCAGCCAGCCAGAGACCAACACCAGAAAAAAGCGCCCGCCCGCCTGCCCGCCTGCATTTCTTTCAAACGCGTCCCGATTCCTGGCTTTGAAACGAGGACTCGTTCCCGATGCGCTGTCTCGCTGGTTGGCCGCCGCGCGTGGCGTGGAGGCCGGGCCCTGGCCCTGGCCCTGGCCTCCTGGCCTCTGGCTGACCCGCTGGGCGACACCTTCAACCCATCCCATCGACCCATCCCAGCCTCTCTCGCAGACCATCATTCCACCAGCGCGCGTCCTCTCGTGGCCGCACCGCACGTACTACGCTGCGCCTCGTGCACTTCCGCCAAAGCACACGTACACCTAGCCCCTGCCCCACGCACAGCGCCGCCCCGGGACGCACGCCCACGTGCAGCCAGCCCCCCTTGCCCGCCCACGCCTGCTGACCAGCGCTCGACTTCATTCCACAGCGCATCATGGCTCCACCGCCACCACCACCACCCGCAGCAGCAGCGTCCGGAGCGAGCGCGACACCGGGCCGATCATTGCTGCCGCAGACCGACTTCGACAACCTCTCTGACGGATCAGACCTCACCGGCGACGAACAACTCGAAGACGACAACGGCGGCGACGGCGACGACGCGGCCATGCAAGACGACGACGACGACAACGACGAAGAGCGCGTCTCTCTCACCCGCACGCCATCCAAGAACCGTCGGCGCGTCGTCCAAGATGAGGAGGAAGATGATGACGACGACGACGACGAGGTGATGGACGACGAGCAGGACGCAGAGGGCGAGGTCGAGGATGACGGCGAGATGGAGGAAGACGACGACGAGGTCGAGGACGACGAAGGAGAAGAAGAGCCCGCAGAAGACGACGGCGACGACGAAGAAGAAGAAGACGACGAAGACGACGAGGTCGACGAGATGGCAGACGACGAGAGCGAAGATGAGTTCCGCGACGAGCTGGCAGACGACGACGAAGCGGCACCGCCAGCCAAGGGCACCACCCGCTCCAAGGCCGCCGCCGCCGCCGCCAAGGACGCCGCACCGTCCAACACGACCCCGACCAAGAAAAAGGGCGGCACCAGCCTCAAGGTGACGCTCCGCCGCTCGCCCTCTTCCGCTCGCAAGGCAGCAGCCGCAGCAGCCGCTTCCTCGTCCACAACACCGGCCTCGACCAAAGGCGGCAAGGGCTCGGCGCCACCGTCGTCGTCCAAGGCGAACAAGGGGGCTGCCCCGTCGCGACCAAAGAACCTCGCCAAGGTCAAGTGGAAGGCGCGTCCGTCCAAGGGCGGAAAGGACGACGACGACGACGAGCAGGATGACCTCGATGCCGTCGGCAGCCTGTCGCCTTCGCTGTCGGCCCTCGACGCCGGCGAGGACGGCGAGCCAATGAGCGGCACCGACGACGGCATCGACGAGCTCGACGGTGCTCGCCCAAGTGCAGCCGCAGGAGGCAGGCGCGGGGCGGCCGACTCGCCCATGATTGCCAAGACGGCGAGGCAGCTGGCCAAGGAGAACAAGGACCTCGAGGCCGGCCTGCTCGAGCTGCCAATGAGTAAGTGTCGATGCCGCCCGCAATCCTCCCTGGCTGCCCTGTGCTCCTGACGTCGAGACGCGCGCGCTGACGCCGATTCTCGCTCTCTCCCCTCCCCCCACACCGCTGCTGCCTCTGCCCGCACGCACCGCAGCCGACGAGTCTCGAAAACGCAAGCTGACGGAAAACGAGATTGCGCTACGGCGGTCCGAGGTGGCGCGGAAGCGCAAGAACCAGAGCGAAAAGAAGCTCGAGGACGACAAGATCGAGACCATCAACCGGCTGCTCAAGAAGCAGGTGGGCCGGTCGCGGTCCAAGCTGCCGGCGCGGTCCGGCTCGGCGGCCGCAGGCGGTGGCGGCGGCGGTGGTGGCGATTCGGACGGCGCGGGAGGTGGCGACGACGAGGATGGTGCCGCGTCTACCGGGCAAGGGCTGACGCGCAGGGCGCAAAAGGACCTCGCCGCGCCCTTCTTTCGGTACGTGAGCACCGTCGGCGGGAGCAAGCTCGGCGTCCCCTCGGCGCCACCGGGTGTGGCGGTGACCGAGGTGTACCCGGAGCAGAGCATCGTGGTCCGCCGAGCTCTGATTGAAGAGATCCACTCGGATGCCGCTGCTGCTGCCACCGCCGCGGCCAACAAGGCACCGGTCGCAGCGACATCGACGGCGCGGCGGGAGCAGCGTCTGCGTGCGTGGAGGGACGAGGTGGACGAGGAGGAGCAGGTGGAAGACGTGTGGGGCCAAGAGGGCCTGTACGAGTGGCGGCTGCGGAGGTGTTTTGGCATGGGCAGGAAGGAGTGGATCGGGCAGAGGAAGAGGCCGTCGCATCACGACGAGGACGGCGCAGAGGCAGAGGCAGAGGCGGAGGCGGACCAGGTCGAGGAGGACGAGGAGGAGAAGGCGGAAAAGGGGAAGGCGGACGATGATGATGCGTACGGGCAGCAGGGGGACAAGGCGGATGGTGAGGGCGAGGCGGGCGAGGGCGAGGATGCGGCTGAGGACCAGGGAGAGGGAGAGGGAGAGACAGGAAAGGACGAAAAGGACGTCGAGATGGAGGACGCTTCGTAGCCAGGCAGGCCCTCACTCACCTTGCTCCCTCGTGCTCTCTAGCGCCACGCTTGCAACGAATCGCTCCCTGCTTGCCACTCGAACCGGCGCCACCATCGGCCGGACGGGCGGGGCTGCTGGCCGACTGACGGACTTGGGATTCATTGACTCGACGACAAATCGGGCTACACGAGAGAGACAGAGAGAGAGGGAAGAACGAGACGAGCGTACAACTACAAGGCCGCCGCGATGGAATTGCGAGGATGGAAACGTGGGATGGCGAGTGGTGGATCGTGCGTGAGACTGACTTGACTGGGCTTGGCTTGGCTTGGCTTGGCTAGAGTTGGGGGAGAGCGGGTGGCGGTTGGTGTACAGGGGGCGGTGGTGCTGGTCGCGGTGATGGAGCTGATTGTGGCTTGTTAGGCATGCGTAGAGGCGGGCATCGAGGTTGCTGCGAGTGCGGCAGGGTGGGCATGGTATCGGGCGCGGGGAGCGCTGGCGTTGGTTGCCTTGGTGGCAGTGGTGACGGTGGTGGCGGTGGCGCTAGGCTTGCCGGGACGAGGGGAGAAGACGAGGATGGTGGGGGAGAGAGAGGTGGGGGATTCCATCGCGACGGCCTTGGAGAAGACGCTGGAACAACGAGAAAGAGAATCGAGTCCGGGAGAAACGAGGATCGGAGCCTTTGTTTGTGAGGGTTTTCTCTTTGTTTCGGTCACGGTCACGGTCACGATCTTGCGACGGGTCGGGAGCGGGAAAGGGGGGAGGCCGAAAACGTGTGGCGCTGGAAGTCGGCTGCGCACGGCGGCGCGGCACGAGGAGGGGGATTGGGCCTGATCTCGGACCGCGATGCCGCACGCAGCCGCCGTTTACGCAACGGCCGGCTCGACGGCCTGCGAGGCTTTCGCCGCCTTGTCCTTCTTGGCCTTCTTGTCGTCGGTCTTGGCGGCAATCTTCTCCTCCCAGACCTTCTCCTGGACGTTCTTGACGTCGCGCGTCGTGGCGCGCTGCGGGTCCTCGGCGGCGTGCATCGTGGCCTCGAAGGCCTCGGCACCAAAGATCTTCTTGAGCTCCTCGGCGTTCTTCTTGAGCCAAAAGGCGGGCGGCAGGGTGCGCGTCATCTTTTCGCTGGCGGCCACCATGGCGCGGTGGCGCATTGTGGGGGCGTCGCCGTCGTCTCGGAGGTCGCTCTGCTTGGTGCCCGGCTGGATGGCGTCCTTGCGGTTGTACTGGAGGCGCGCCATGCCCGGGGCGAGGCACTGAACCAGGTAGAAGAGGTTCTCGAGCGGCTCGGCGACGTCGAGGATGACCGAGGGGTCGCGCGCGCTCTCGTCGGAATCGCCGTCGACCTTGACCTTCCAGATAAACTCGTTGGTCATCTCGTACGAGGGGGCGTTCTCCTTTTTCTTGGATCGCGTCGACTTCTTCTTCTTGTCGCCGTCGTCGGCCGCGGCGTCGTCGGCCTTGGCACCGGCGGCGTCGTCGTCGGCCTTGCTCGAGGAGCGACTGAAGTCGATGAACTTCTTGGGGACGCGGACGTACATGACTGCGGGCACGCGAGGAGGGTGGCACGAGGGCATGGATCAGCATGGAGCGGCGACTCGACGGCGGCGGCGGCGGCGGCGGCGGTGGTGAGGGGCAGCGACGACCACTCACAGCCGTCCTCGGTAAACGAGCCGTGAGGTGCGTTGCGCCTCAGGACATAGAGCTCAGTCTGTAGTGGTGGCGAGTGGCGAGTGGCGAGAGCGAGGGATGGTGAAGGGTAGGTGGCGTCAGGGATCGGTCTAGGTTAAGAACGACGACGGTGGAAGGGCGATGGCCGGTGGCCTCGACCACTCACCCTCGCGGCGTCGGTGCTCGACCAGCCGCTGCCCTCGAGCTTCTGCCTCTGTTCGAGGACAAAGGGCTTTGCCTTTTCCCATGCGTCGCGGGTCCAAGGCTTTGTGATGTGTTCGAGGCGGATCTGCTTCTTTGCGTCCTCGATGGTGGCGTCCGAGGCGTCGAAGATGACGCCGCAGTCGGATGGGCCCTGCGAGCGGTGGCGAGGGAGGCAGAGCGAGATGGAGAGAGGCAGAGCGAGATGGAGAGAGGCAAGAGGCAAGAGGCAGAGGGTAGGGTTCAGCAGGAGAGGCAGAGGCAGATGGTGTGGCGAGGGGTTTGGCCGCGTCGCTGTGCTGTGCGCTGCCTGGCCTGGCGCTGCACTGTGCGGGCACAGCCGAGGTGGCGAGCAGAGGCAGCAGCGCGAGTAGCCTAGATAACGCACGCCAGGCTCCGATAAGGCGGGGCAGATGCAGGGCTCACGCACGCGCGCATACAGGCGTGCACCCTAGCCTGGCCGGCCTGCCCGCTCCACCCTAGCCTGCCTGGTCGAATCTGACCCCGGCCAAGCGCCCCTCTGACGGCGACCAACATCGCGCAAGGCGGCTGCTACGCTCCACTCACGGCCTTGACAAACTCGGTGGGCTGCTCTTCCTTCTTGTTCTTGTTCTTGCCCATATTGGTGGTTGGCAGCGGAGGCGAAGGCTGCTAGGCGATGCTCGTTGTAGTGATGGCGGCGGCGATCAAAGGCGCGGCTGGATGGTTGCGCTGGATGCAAAGTGGTAGGGTCGCGGAAGCGCCGTCGATCAAGAGCGGGGCAAGGCAGAGGCAGAAGCTGGAGCCGCAGGGGAGGAGTGGAAATGATGGTCTCTCGCAGCGGATGCGGTTGAGAGGAGGGTGAGGGGGCTGCGAGCAGTGGGGGGGGATGGTGCGGCCTCGTCCTTTATACCGGCATGGCACTGCGATGCTAGCTGGACCGCACCGCAACCGCTGGGCCCCGTTCTCTCTCTCCCTGCCTCTCCCTCTCGCCAAGCAGGCGGGCAGGCGGGCTGGCCGGCAGCCATCGAGCGACGAGGCGGATGGCTGGGCAACGGGCGTGCGCACAGGCCGGAGCAGGCCATGCCCCCCTGTAGTCTGCCACTCCCAAGGCGGCCGCACAGATCATCCTGGCCTGGCCTGGCCTGCTGGAGGCAGGTTTTGCGGGGTAAGCAAAGCTGTTAGGCCAGAGAGGTCAGGGCAGCCAGGCCAGGGTCCCGCCCCCCCACCAAGCAAGCTGACGACGAGGCCGCAGATGGTCGAGCTCGTGTGGGCCCTCGCCGGCGCTGGGTCACGCCATGCATGCTGGCCTCTCCTGCCTGCCTGCCTGCCTGGCTTGCCTTGTTTGGACAGGCTGGCCAGGCTGGCCGGCCAAGGCGACCGGGCGGCATCGACCGTGCGTGTAGCCAAACAGCGAGCCAACGACGATGCCAGGCTGCGGGGCGAGCGAGCGGGCGAGCCCTTCGTTGTCTCTGCTGCTGCCATCCGACAGAGGCTGCCTAGCCTGATGCCGGCTGGCCTAGACCGGGGGCAGCAACGAGTCACAAGACCTCCCCCAGCCTCAGCCTCAGCCTCAGCCTGCCAACCGGCACGGGTGCGTGGGCGACAGCCTGCCTTATGCCAGCTCATGCCAGCTCAGGCGAGGCAGGGTCACGCCAAAGTTAGCGCAGCCCAAGCCAGCCTGGCCAGGCCGAGGAGCGGTGAGGTCAGGTCCGGTCAGGCCAGCAGAGGAGGCCCCATGACCACCCGCCGCTGCCTGGGCCAGTCCAGGCTAGGCTGGGCCAGGCAGGCTACGCTAAGGACCCACGCTCGCTTGCAGGCCAGCTGCGCCGCGAGAGTTCATGCAGAACGAGCCTGGTCTGGCCTGCAGCCCACCTATGCACGACCCTTCGGCCCGTGTGCAATGAGGGTTTGTATCCTCCTCTGTGGGCTCCCAAATCAAATCGAACGAAAGAGTTCAATCGAACTAGAGTTTAGTATCGCCAGCCAGCCTCGGAGCCGATGGGGTGCGCACGGCGCACAGCGCATCCAAGCTTTCGTCGACCTCCCTCGGTCGGGCCACCTCCATCCCCTTCCTCCCTTCCTCCACCGTCGTCGCTCCCGCCCTGCCGCTCAACAAGCATGCATCGTGCTGCCCGACCCGCGACGCCAGCCTCGACTTCCGACGAAGACGACGACCATGACCACGAACGCGACGCGTTAAACCAAGGCCCAGGCTCGTTTCTGTGCGCGAGCGGACCACCGACCGGCCTGCTCGGGGCGCGCGGCGATGACATGCATGGATGGGGGATGAGCGAACGGGTGCTACAGCAACATGGGACGGTGGACCGATGGTTGATTGACGAGCCTGGATTCGTTGGACTGCGGGCCAGGCCCGACAGCTATTGGTCACCGACATTACGCTGCCACTCGGGACGCACAGGGCCTTGACCCGCCTCGACCAATCGATCGGCTGGCCGAGCCCGCTACGGCATCAGGCTGCTGGCGCGGCTATCGTCCATGTCGACGGCGCCCAGCCTCGCTTCCTGCCGGTCCTTTTTCTTCTTGAGCTGCGCGTACTCGCGCGAGATGTTGGTCGACGTCGTCCAGCCGTCCTCGGGGAAGAGCTCGGCCATGGCCTTGTAGCACGACTTGCGCGCATTGATCTCGCTAAACTGCTCGGCGGCATTCTCGAGCTTGCTGTTGGGTGCGAAGCGCAGAGGGGGAAGGGGTCAGGTCGAGGAGACGGGCGATCCAGGGCGGGCAGACGGACGAGGGGAGGGCCAGGCGGCCAGCGACCAGCGATCAGCGACGGCAGCCAGGTGCCGGGCCGGAGTCAACCCAGACGCAGCAGCGCAGCCACTCACAGCTTCTCGTTTCTGACCTCGCTCATGGCGTTCTCGATGTTGATGAGGGTGAAGACCTCCTCGCGCATCTCTTCGGTCCACTTCCAGCGCTTCTGCGGCTCTTGGACTGCGTCGACGGGCGTATATGGTTGGGGGGAGGAAGAAGATGTCAGCCTGGCGCTCACAGGGCCCTCCCGCTGCCGCCATGCGACCTGCGCACTCACGTTCCTCTTCGGCAGGCGGGCCGGCACCGTCGACGTCCATGGCGCCGCCTTGACCGC